AATAAACAGAGGGAATAGAAGCAAATACTGTTGAATGACAATGCATGGGGGTATTGTAATCATTGCAATGAAATGAAATATAAATGGATATGTATAAAACCGATGTTCTCCCACGTAAACTATCATTCAATTCACAATAAAAAACTTAAAAAAAAAAAACAAAAAAAAAACAGTGACTCTGGGAGTTGCATCATAGTATCCAGCACACATGTGATGAATAATAATGTCTAATAAACATCTGCTATTTGAATGTGACCAGATGAGATGTCACACTTAGACCTGAATTCACGTACTCCAGGGAAAGATCTAGTAGAAGCTTTCAAACCATGTATACAGTGACAGGTCTGAGAAGTCTCAGCACTGTCTTATGCATTTCCCTCTCACCCACACATACATTCTATTTCCACCCAAAGCAACAACTTTTACCCTCCTATGATCGCTATTTGAAAATGTTATCTAATCATATTAAGATCATGATTGTTTCTTCATTTTAGTTGTTTATACATTGACATAGAGATACATTTTATTCATTTTTTCCACCAATATTTTTCACTCATTAAGCCCTCAAACATTGGAGTCCCGTAATATAAATGCTTAAGGTGCTTGAGTGCTGACTAAAAAGTTGGAGGTTCAAGTTTACCCAGAAGATCCTTAAAAGAAAGGACTGGTGATTTACTTCTGAAAAATTAATCACTGAAAAAATTCCTGTGGAGTACAGTTCTGTTTAGAATTGATTCAACAGCAAATTAAAAAAAAAAAAAATGTGTACTGTTGTAGACACTAAGTAAAACAAATGAGTGAGCAATTGTAAATGGGCTTACATATCACCATAAAGACTTGGATTTTATTTAGACATCATGAGGACGTATTAAGGAATTATGGACAAAGTTGTCACTTGAATAGGTTTGGGCTATTGAAAAATCTCTCTGTTGCTGGTGAAGAATGGATTACAGGAAGTGTTCACAATATAAGGGAGGCAGTTTGGGAATTTAAACACAGTTGAGTTATTTCTTCAAACCTCAGCTGAGTCACATATCTTTTGGTCCTTCCTCTGACTTAGACCCACTTTGCAGTCCAGTAAGTAAGCAGTGTGGCCAAACAACTTGTCAATAGTGTACTTGGGGGTCATTATTTGCATGATTCTCTAAAGTCACAAGAAGCTCATGGGGCCTTTGTAAGTGTAAACACAACGTATGTGACCCCCAGATTGCAAACACTGGTTTTGAAGCACAAAGCTGTTTACATCTAGGAGCCATCTCTTTAAAATAATCCTCAGCAGGCTCTATCATTAATTTTTGGCTTTTCCATTCAATAGCCTCCATAGCTTTGGGCCAGTCAGTAATAAGTAAAGTAATTGCTCAGTTAAAGATGAAATAAATAATTTATATTAAAAACTGTGTATCTAAATGCATGAATGAGCAGTAGAGAGTCTATCCCAGAGAAACAAAAGCATGCTTTTTTTTTTTTTAATTTGTCAATTATAGACTGGAAAATGGAAGAAAACGTATCATATTAATAATAATTATTTGAAGGTAATAGCTTATGTTCTTTAATGCAGTTCCGACATAAACATCACTGTAAGAAATGATATTTCATTTCAATACTAACAAATCAGGTACTTAGTGTGCTGGGGGAGAAATGATTGGAACCACTTTAAAGCTGTGTTAACCAGAGAAACTGCAAAAATATTTATATTCTTATGAAGGAAAGAAAGAATGCCCCTCATGGGTGTATTCAACTCTCCTCCATCTTTTGGATAAATGGTAATGCTAAACAAAAAATGGAAAGATGTCCTTAGAATAATAACCTCAGGACCCAACTGGGACTTGGCTTTCCAATGCACAAAAGTCATTTGCAATATGTTCAGGATGGAGATTTCTATACTGTTTTAAAGCTCATAGACTTCATTATATAGTTCAAACAAAATCACCAAATCACCCAACTCTGGATTGGCTTCCATCCCCTGAGATAGGCTTCCCCATATGTAAGATTACTCACCTTCTTCTTGTTCACTGCCCATAATTCTGTTCAGTGACTCAACAATGTTTATAAGGACCGAAAAACAAAGAAAATGGGAAAATCAATATGCTTGTAGAGGTGTTTCATATAAAGGATGGGACTGCTAAAGCAAAACTTAGGTTTGGCTCTGTTATGGCTCTCTCAAAGCCAGCTCATTCTCCATTTTTATCTCATGGCGACACCACACAAAGACCATGTGGACAATCTCCCAAGGCAAATGTTGAGTGATATCTGAAAGCCATTACACTGAGCAAGCCATTACTCTTCCATTCATATTCATTTCCAGCAGCCAATGTGCAGCTTGCAAAGAAGATGGAGAGTTGGTCAAGGGTCTAAAACTATGAGTCATTTAGTTTTCAAACAACAGCTCCCAATGACTTGGAGATTCCAGCTGATTTATTGTGAATGACATTGATTAGATGATAAGATTAGAAGCTGCTAGTCAGAATTGGTGCTTAGAGAAACAAAACATATAAAAGTCACCAATCCAATAATTCCATGGAGCATTGCACAGAATTGCAGTACAAACAAGTGTTTGGTCCCTTTCACAAAGAGGCATACGAATATATATGTAGAGAGGAATTGTTTATAACCACAAAGCCATAGTGCCGCAATATCTCAGACTTGTCTTTTGTGATCTCATGGGTTTTGAATGCTAGGAAAGTGAAGAGATTCTGGATGATCCAATCCCCAACTATATTGATATACATATTCTCTTTTGACCTTTATAAAATCTTGTGTGACATAGTGGGGAGGGATCCTTAAAATTATCTAAATTTTCTGTATGAAATGCACAGGTTCATAGAGGTAAATAACTTGCAGTACTGTTGGTAAGCGAAATAATAGAATCTTTTGCTGCCCAATTCCTTATCTATTTAATTATCTAATTGTTCATATTCTACGTATACAGCAATATGAGTAAATAAGGATTAATTCACCTTAATAGCCAATTAATTCAGTAACAAGCAATAATTTCAAGCAACTCTTTTGATGAACCAATTGGCTATTGGATAGAATTGGTGGGTCAAAACAGGTGGTTCCGGAGCTGTGTATCAAACAATGCTTTTGCCAGGTGAGACGTTAGATAATGTTCAGTACCTATCTCCCCTATCCTCCTTTTGATAAGTGACAGATTCTTCAAGCTGCAGATTTCACACAGATGCCAAGTTCTGGCTGCATGTTCCAGGATAGTATCAAAGCCAACACAATGAGCTTTAATGCTGGTGAGGTAAGGTATTCTTGGGGTTGAATGGAAATCACCAAGGAGTAATCTGTCAGTTTGCCTAACAAATTTAAAAGAGTCCAGTACCCTGGAAGTGTCACACTGTCCCTTATTTACAACAACAGTAGGGAAGTAGAGAGAACAGCTAGAGCAGCCAACTCGAGCTGCAATCCAGCTGTTCAAGCAGCTAATATCGCTGCAGAAAGAACATTATTTATACAAAAGTCCTTTCACTCAACACTGGAGTGTGAGTTCCAGATGGACACACAGTCACATGCACACACATACACGCACACACTTCAGTTTACTATAGTGACAGAAGGATGGTGCAGAGAGATGCCAATTTGGGTCAACACAGAAGGCGGAGAAACACAATATGCATTGACGATATCTATCGACTAAGCATATTCACAGTAATGATGCTATGTAAAGGACTTCTCCACTTGTTGCAAAAGACAGGAAACAGATCCCCATGAATGTAACAGAAGCAGAGGTTCTAGAAAAGCTGAGATATATGTAGTGGACAGGCTCCCTGTTGCTTACTGTGAGGGCAAGTGACAGCAGAGCCAGATCAGCAGGCATGCACACTTTGCTTCTAGGACTAGAACAGATTGTGTGGTAGGTGAAAGCAATCATCGGACCATTTCTTGGTTAAGCTGAATAGATGCCACGTGGAGCCTTTCTTCCCTCTCAGTGAGACAGCGGCATTGAAGAATCTCCCACGGACCCTTCATTACAGTTTATTACTGCTAGACAGCAAGCTTGGGTGTTCCAAACTTCACATACCTGATAGGGGCCTTGGTTACAGCCACAATAGCTGCTCTCCATGGTATAGCTTCTGGACACACCCATCTCTCGCCAGACCACAACCCTGGCCGTGGAGGCTCGGGATTTCTCCACGAGGAAACTGCAGCTGCCCATTGTGAATGCTGGGGCCAGTTTATCAAGAATTTTGGGAAGAGTCTACAAAAAAAAAAAAAAAATCAAACTCTGATGAGTTGTAAGTGATTGGAGATATGCATCGTAAAAACAGTTTCTCAACAAAGATCTATGCTGTTGTTGTTAAGTGTTGTTGAGTCAGTTCTGACTCATACCAACCCTGTTTAGGGTTTCCAAGGAGCAGCTGGTGGGTTTGAACCACTGACACTGACCTTATCCTACATCTCTACACCAGGACTCTATGTGTCTGTTTATATTTATCTCTACATATATCCAATCATCTATCTAATAAATGCCATTGAAAATCTTATATCAGCTCTAAGTCATGAATACCATTTGCTTTATCATTTCCCAGTTGAGGAAACTGGATCTTAGGAAGGTCAGAGAGAAAAAAATAAACAAGTAACTAAAGTCCCTCAGTAAAAAGTGGCTAAAATGGAATAGAAACTATGTCCTGTCCAAGTCTAAAAGTCATAATCTTTCACTTCCAACTTGGATGTGACTACAAATGTCCACTGCTCACATATTGGACCTCATACATGCTGAGCTTGTGGTTTACACAAGGAAGTAAGATTTATAGAGTGATTCCACCTTCCCTCACTGTTCCTTAGCCTAAAAGACTGAGGATAAGGAATCCTGGTGTGGCACTGTATGATAAACACTACCCTGCTAGAGACAAGGTTGGCACTTTAAACCCACCAGCTGCTCCTCAGAAACTCTATACAGGTTGTTAAGAGTCAGAACTAACTTGAGGACACTTAACAACAACACCAATAACAGTAACAAAGGATTGATTGCTTATCTCAGAGAGACACAAGGAGCTAGTGATCATTCTTGAGCAAATGCATATATAAAGTTTATTTGTTTTCCAAGAGTATATGATTGCCAAATTAACTCTTTAGTCTGTATCACTAACACATAAATCTGAGTTTCACGAATGATAAAGCTCCTGAAGTCCATCTTTTCTGGGTACACGTATCCCACTTTGTCCTATAGTAGGAGACCTTTGTAAGTGACCATTTAAAGGGGAGCTCTGGTGGCACAGTGATTAGAGAGCTTGGCTGCTAAATGAAAGGTCATCAGTGAATTGAACCCCCAGTGACTCGGCAGAAGAAAGTTCTGCTTCCTTGAAGGGGACAACCCAATGGGACCATTCTACTCCATTCTATATGTGGCCACTGTAAGTCAGAACGTACTCAAAGACAGTGGGAGTTTTGTTTATTTGTGTTTGATAAACTCCATTTAGAAGCCATCTGTAGAATCTTGCCATCCTTCCAAAGGAAACACTAGCTCACAGACCCTCTTGCCAAAAGGACTGACTCAGAAGATACACCGAGTTTAGAACCAAAACCAAATCCATTGCTGTGGAAGAGATTCCAGCTCTTGGCAACCGCATATATTGCCAAGCCTGCATTGCTTCCTAGTTTACATCTTTGGTTTTTGCAGATTGCCAGACCTTTCTTCCACAGTACCATCAGGCATGTATGAAACATCAAGCTTACAATTAGTAGATGAGTGCATTCACTATTTGTGCCACCCAGAGACTCAGTGTCAGTACTGACAGAATATACACATAGCAACACACAATATAAAATTATGTACATTAAAAAAAAAATGAAACATAAGGCATCTGGACAAACTGTGGGGAGAAGTTAGAGAAATAGAACAAGTTGATGAGTATATGTAATAAGGAATTAGGCTTAAAGAAATGCAGTTTCATAAAACTCTAGGATACTGAGCAAATCTTTTAATCACTCTAGTTCTAAGTCTTCCCATCTTTAATATAGCATTTAGTCATATTAATGTGAGAACTAATTTAATTATATTAGGAATTATATATTATGTCAAACTTAGAGTTTATTCTTATTATGTAGATATCATCTTTATAAACTCTCCAACTCACTACAATTTATTTGTAACTCCAAAACCAATACTTGTGGTACATTATCATCATTCCCAGATATATAGATGTGTAAGGAGCTCTCTGGTAGAGGAGTGGTTACGAATCAGGCTGTTAATCTCAAGGTCAGCAGTTCGAAACTAGTGGCTGTTCTGCAGGAGAAATATGAGGCTTTTCGCTCCCATGAGGATTTGCTGCCTTGGAAACCCTGTGCAGGGTTGCCAGGAGTCAAAACTGACTCCACGGTACTTAATAACAACATGTTCTCAACTAAATTTTAACAAGATTGGTTTAGTACTGGCTAATTTAGTGTTTGTGGTGACTTAATAGAACATATATACCATGAATAATAAGAAATGATTGTACATCAACATTATTAATATAATTTAATATGTTCTATAAATTTCCACATAGCCTCCAGATCAACAGTATCATTTGAAAAGGAAAATAAAATGCTGATAATGTCTTCTACGATTTTATTTGTAATGTTTTTCTCTTGTTTGATTTCATTGTATGCACTCTTGTCTCTCTCTCCTCATGACCCCTTCACCCTATTTTCTCCTTCAATAATATAATATATAATGTATTAATATAATATAACAATAAAGTTAAATTGAATGTGATGTAATTTTTATTTAAATCATTATTGATGTAATTAGTCGACTATTTTCTAACTCCTTTGCAGCATAGAGGTTCCATGAGGGCAAGGTGAGTGTCTTGTATAAATAATCACTCTGCACATGAAACTCACAGAAGGCACTCCATAATTATTTACAACAATAAATAGAATCTGCTAGCCTAGACCCTTAGAGTTGTTTAAACAAGTATACATTGATACACTATTTAATAAGCTGCAACTAATTGATTGAGAATACTAGAACAAGACTTTATTAATACCCTACCATGTTGTAAAAATTTCAATCTTACATCCTTTGAACGATCTCTCATTCCTTACTTCAGTGACCCTAGTTTGGATAGATAGCATAGGTCCTGTCCAAAGGACCATATGCTCACATTAACTGTGTGCATCCTGGAGAACTTGACTAGCTATGATCCCTTCACTGGAACTTGGAGGACGTGGGATTTGCAAAGTAAAATGGGAGTACCCCTCTTATATCTTCACAGTGCCAATACATCTTGCTGGCATTCTTCCTCTTTTTCACAGAACCTCCACTTTACCAAGCATGAAGGATGTCCTTCTCCAAAGATTGGTTCCTCCTGATAATATGTCTGAAGTCTGAGAGACAAAGTCTGGCCATCATGGCTTCCTCTGAGCATACCAGCTGTACTTTTTTCAACACAGATTTGTTTGTTTTTCTAGCAGCCCATGGTACTTTTAGGAGTTCTGGTATGGCTCTGCAGGTTAATGTACTAGACTGTAAACTGCAAAGTCAGTTTAAACTACACGGTCAGTGGTTCAAGTTCACTAGCAACTCCTTAGAAACACTAAACAGGGTCGTCATGAGTCAGAACCAACTTGACAGCATTTAGCGACAGTAATTAATTACACTTTTAATGTTCTCCTCCAACACTATAACTCAAATGCATCAAATCTTCTATGGTCTTCCTTATTCACTCTTCACATGCATATGAGGTTATTGAAAATACCATGAGGTGAATCTTAGTTTACAAACTGACATCTTTGCTCTTCAACACTTTAAAAAGGTCCTGTGCAGCAGATTTGCCTAATGCAATACACCATTTGATTTAGTGACTACTGCTTCCATGAGTGCTGATGGTGAATACAAGCAAAATGGAGATTCTGACAACTTCAATCTTTTATCCATCTATATTAATATATTTATTGGTCAAGGATTTTTGTTTTCTATACTTAAGGAGCTCTGGTAGTGTAGTGGTTACGAATCAAGCTGCAAACTGCAAGGTCAGCAGTTTGAAACTACCAGCTGTTCCGTGGGAGAAAGATGAGGCTTTCTGCTCCCATAAAGATTTATAGCCTTGAAAACCCTGTGCAGGGTCTCTATGAGTCAGACCAACTCCACGGCACATAATACTTAAGATGCAACTGATATCAAGGGCTGTGGTCTTTGATCTTCAACAGTAATATTTTTACTCCTCTTCACTTTGATGAAGTTCTGGTATGGTGCTGCAGGATAATACACTGTACCTCAAGGTTGCTTTGAACTACAAGGTCAGTAGTTCAAACCACCCTGCCACTCCATGGAAATCCTATAGAGGGTTGTGACACATCAGAATTAACTTGATGGCACTTAACAACAACAACTTTGCTTTCAGCAAGCAAGGTTGTATCACCTGCATATCACAGGTTGTTAATGAGTGTTCCTCCAATCCTGTTGTCGTGTTTTTCTTCATATAATCCAGTTTTTAGAATTATTTGTTCAGCATACAGATCAAAAAAATACAGTGAAAATATACAACCCTGTTGAACACTTTTCTTAATTTTAAAATTATTCAACATTTCCTTACTCTGTTAGAACAACTGCCCCTTTGTCTACATACAGATTCCTAATGAGCACAACCCAGTGTTCCAAAATACTCATTCTCCCCAATTTAGTCTATAGCTTGTCATGATGCAGACAGTTGGAAGTCTTTGCGTAGTCAATAATAGGTAAATATATTTTGGGTATTATCTGCTTTCAGCCAAGATCCATCTGACATCAGCAAAGATAACCCTCATTCCACAGCCTCTTCTGAATCCATCTTGAACCTCTGGCAGTTTCCTGTCAATTTACTGTTGCAGTAGTTTTTAAATTACCTTTAACAAAATTTTTCTTGCATATGATATTGATGATATTGTCCAATGAGTTCAACAGTCCATTGAGTCACCTCTTTCTGGAATGACCACAAATATGAATCTCGCCCAATCAGCTGACCAGGTAGTTGTCTTCCACATTTCTTGGTGTAGAGTAAATGCTTCCATTGCCTCATCAGTTTGTTGAATGGTTTCAATTTGTAGTCCATCAATTCCTGGTGGCTTGTTCTCTGCCAATACCTTCAGTGCACCTTAAACTTCTTCATTCAGTTAATCATTCATTTAACTATGAGTCATCAAATTCATATCATTGGCTCTTGATCATATTGTTGTTGTGAAGTGCCGTTGAGTCGGTTCCAACCCATAGCAACCCTGTATGGGGTTTCCGAGGGT